ATTTTTTCACGATGGTAAATGTCCTAAAATATGCTTACCATCGTGAAAAAAATTTTTTACAAAAAGTTTTTGACTAAAAATGACACAAAAAGTTTACATTCTGAAAGAGAATGTTTCAAAAAACAATTAAAAATTGATTTCTAAGTGCAGTATTTTTATGAGAAACATGCAGGAAAACATACAATTTTGGAAAATAATTTCCCCAAATTTTCTTTGTCAACAATTATTAGTTTTTGATCATAAATTACACCAAAAGTGTACATTCTGTTAGAACAATTAATTAAAAAAAATTCAAAAAAATGTTTTCAAAATGCCTTAGTTTTATGAGAAACTTGCAAGGAAATATACAATTTTATATAGTATTTTAGATGATTTTTGACATTTTTTTTCCATCTTTGACCAGAAACGACACAAAACGTTCACATTTTGACAATAACTTTTATTTAAAAAAACTGTACTCTAGGTGTTATGAGAAACATTTAGGGAAAGGAACAATTTTCAATAATATTTTTGGGGTTGGGATTAGGGTTAGGGGTAGGGTTGGTGTGGGGTTAGTGTTAGGGTTAAATTAGGGTTGGGGTAAGGGTTAGGGTTTGGTTAGAGTTAGGGTTAGGATTGGGGTTAGGGTTAAGGCTACGGCTAGCGTTAGGGTTGCGGGTAGGTTTAGGGATAGGGTTAGGGTTAAGCGAGGGTTAGGGTTGGGGTTAGGCTTAGAGTTAAGGTAAAGTTAGGGTTAGGTTAGGGTTAGGGTTAGGGTAGGGTTAGGGTTGGGGTTAAGGTTAGGGTTGGGGTTGGAGTTGGGGTTAGGGTTAAGGTTGGGGTTGGCGTTAGGGTTAGGGTTGGGGTGGGGTTTAGGGTTGGGTTAGGGTTAGGGTTGGGATAGGGTGGGGTTGGGGTTAGGGTTGGGGTTAGGGTTAAGGCTACGGCTAGCGTTAGGGTTGCGGGTAGGTTTAGGGATAGGGTTAGGGTTAAGCGAGGGTTAGGGGTGGGGGTAGGCTTAGAGTTAAGTTAAGGTAAAGTTAGGGTTAGGTTAGGGTTAGAGTTGGGGTTAGAGTTAGGGTTGGGGTTGGGGTTAGGGTTGGGGTTAGAGTTAGGGTTAGGGTTAACTTAGGGTTAGGGTTAGGGTTAAGGCTACGGCTAGCGTTAGGGTTGCGGGTAGGTTTAGGGATAGGGTTAGGGTTAAGCGAGGGTCAGGGTTGGGGTTAGGCTTAGAGTTAAGGTAAAGTTAGGGTTAGGTTAGGGTTAGGGTTGGGATAGGTTGGGGTTGGGGTTAGGGTTGGGGTTAGAGTTAGGGTTGGGGTTGGGGTTAGGGTTAGGGTTGGGATAGGTTGGGGTTGGGGTTAGGGTTGGGGTTAGGGTTAAGGTTGGGGTTGGCGTTAGGGTTAGGGTTTACAGTTAGGGGTAAGGGTTACTTTAGGGTTAGGGTCATTTGGTTTACAGAAAAAATATTGGACACTTTTGGTTGTTTTCTGTTGTTTATGAGACTCACGTGCATCGTCATTTTCCATCAGATTCTCCACCGTGTGCAGTTTTTACAGCCATTTTTTTCTGCGTCCTGCACATGGGAGACAAAACAAACTGTGCGCTCTACAATTTCAGACGCTAAAGTGTGTGCGATTTGTGCGAGTCAGCAGTTTGATTGACACATCACCAAAGTCATCTATCATTGCTATGGACTGCACAGATAAGACTGCCAATAGACAGCCATAAAATAGTTTATTTTCAATTAATTAATGTCAAATGAAAAAGTGGGACAAAATCTTCAATTTGCAGAACAGGTGGCCACTCTAGCTACAGCTTAAAAAAATGACTTAATATTGATTTCTTAAAATTTCATTAAGGTATATTTTTGGCTTATTTTGCCATATTATATTGCCTTTCTTTTTGACTATTGTGTATTTGTTGACACAGTAACAGATATTTAAAACAACTGCTAACTTTCGTCTAAACTCGAAAACGTTTTTGTCTGATTAGGAAGAAAAATTATGTGATGTATTCTGAGTTTTTATAAAATCAGACAAATTTAGGCAGGAAGTTTATAACAACCACTTTATTGTGTTTGTATCACAATGTCACAATTTAGGATTGGTCTCCTATACAGTAAAAAAAAAAAAAATTTAAAAAATGCAAACAGAAAAAGGACAAAGAAATTCTCACATGGTGAAAACAAGAGACAATGAAGAGAAGTGAAGGCGGTCACTCCCTCATTTCTCCGTCCTCCTCCTCCTCTTCCACTCCTCTGATGTACAGGACGTTGTTGCACCTGTGCAGATGAAACACAGTCGTCACCATTGGCTGCTCTTTCAAAGGGACTGACACCGATCTGATCGTACACATGATTTACTTTGGTACAAACGAGAGTGTAATTATGATGAAGCAGGTTTACAGCTGGAGGCTGTTGAAAAAAGACAAAGAAAAGGAAGGAACACCTCTGTGTTTGTTTTGGAATAAAGCTGCTCTGATCACAATCGGGGGTTTTTCATTTCCAACAGGTTCTCACTCTGCTGCTGCGGATCTAAACCTGCCTCTGTCTGAACGTTTCCTGGCAGCTGAATATTTAAATTGTCTCTCATTCAAAAGAATATTCAGGCATTTCAATGCTTGTTTTTTTAAGGGAAGAAAAATTCTAACAATCTTATTTGTAACAGGAAGGATTACAAAAAAAAAAAAAAAAAAAGAGATCAAATATGCAACTAACATAGTTAAGGTTAAAAACAAACCTGATGAGAACTTCACCCAAATGACCAGCCAACGATCCGTCTACATATTCTTCTGTGTTTGCCAACTGTCAGTTGAAAAGCATGTAACGTGTTAAAGGTCATGGTAAAAAAAAAAAGAAGTAATGTTTGCAGTCAACACAATTTCAAAATATGTCTTAAATAAATAAAAAGGCCACAGTGCCTCTGCTGGTGAGGGTTTTCATCACAACAACAGTCCTGTCACAAACAACTGATTTTTTAATAAAAATGTTAACTTCACATCTAAATTAATAACTTCATCCCAAAAAATATAATTGCAAGATTTTAAGACATTTGAATGTACTTGTATAGTCCATAACATCCTATCCCAAAAAACATAATTGCAAGATTTTTAAGACATTTGAATGTACTTTGTATAGTCCAAATCATAACATCCCAGTCTGATTATAAAGTTTTTATTGCAGAATAAAACATTTACTTATTTTTAATATCAATATATTGATGTGACCCACAACAAATATGAATGTGAACTTTAAACAAACAGTATTAACATTAACATCTTACTAGACAGAGCTTTGGTGGCTATTTTTTTACGAATCCAAACATGAAAAAAAAAGAAAATGATTATAGCCTGTCCTGACCACTAACGTGAAAATGTTGGTACTTTACTTATCTTAGACAGAAATAAAGGAATCAATTCTGAGATGTCTTAAAAGCATTTTTTCCCAATCAAAATCAAACATTTCACCAGTTGTGACTATTTACCTGCATGTTCATGTATCCGTCCACTGACACCAGGTAGCCTTTATATTCCATTCCCCACTTCAGCTTCACCATTACTGGTTTCCCCGTGAGGCCGTTCAGGAAAGGCTTGGGATTCAGAGGTAAACTCTGTGGAGAACAAAAAGGCTCGTCATTAAAGTCCATCACATGTACGGATCATGAATGTCAACAAACATGAACACTTTTAATTATTTTTCTTAGTAGCTTTTATCAAGACCACAGGCCACTGTTATAAAGACGGTCTAAATGCATTGCAGATGGAAAATAGTTTTATGAAGCTGAAGCAAGAGAACACAGAAAAATTGTTCCAAAATTGGTTAAAAAACAATGGCCATTAACGTTTCACCACATAAAAACAAATGTAAAATGTTTCGTGAAATACAGACAATAATAAACGTTCAAATGTCAGAATACTTACGTTACAAACGTGTATATATTGTAGATTTTCAGATATAGACAGGGATCGTATCGTATCAGACTATGTAGGACGGTAGAAACAAAGGCTTCATTACGACGAGCCCCTTAAATTTACCCCATTGTGAAAAACTCCGAATAAGCGACGGTTTAGGGTTATTTAATCGAGCTACACAAGTTATTTCGGCTCGAACAGGAAGTTGTATTTTGGCGAAGCATTAAAAGAGTAACAATGTACAAAACCCGCCTAATAAGACGGTTTTGGATGGTACCTAGTTTGTCGCTCAACTTTCTCCATGGGACAAAGTGTTACATAAAAGTGACCCATGCTATTACTTTAATGCATCCAATTTCTACGTGTTGCGTAGTTTGTGTGAACATTAAAGTTTCATTCATTCAGTGCGAGCTTTGAAGAGATAGCATAGTCAGCTAATGCTAACTAGCTACAAAAGAGACCGAGTTTACTGCGTAGCAATAAAACGACCGCTTTAAGCGCATAGAGTTCCGCGAAAATAAAGTCTATACAAAATAAAACATACTTACCATTTTTATTAAATAAATAAGTATAAGAACGTGTTGGTTAAATGTTTGTCTCCTCTTCGTCGGTAAAACGTTAGCGCCTCACAAACCAGAACACGCTTTGCCGCGACCCCGGAAGTACTTGACAAACTGTGACCTCAGGGAAGAGATTATAGTTTTACACAACCCCACCCAGTGGTCACTGCAGTCACGAGTGAACGGAATTCTGTACTAATGTATATCAGGAAATAACGGAAAACAAAGATAAAAATCTTACAATTTGGTAAATTATTTCAAGATAAAGTTTTTATATTTCGTGTTTACGTTAAGTTTATGAATGTTTTCTGCAATAGTCTGCTAATGTACTTTGCTATAATACGATGTAAATAACGTTTGGCTAATAAATAAAATATTTTGAGTTAACTCCAAACTAATTGCTCTTATTCTTAGGCTTCCAGCTTAAGCAGAAAAGTTTTTTTTTACTTTTACTTCTACCCTAACCTTGACTACAAAAATAAACAAAAGTCAGCCAAACGGTATGTTTGACCCCATTTGTACATGGTTGCATTTTGTATACCGTCCAAAATATAAATACATTTGAATATGTAGAAAATTGAGTTGTTTGAAAGACTAGACTTCACTTATTAAGGGTATTATTTTCTTTTGTCAAAACTTGTAAATGTAAAATTTAAGGAAAAATGCCCTAATTCAGGAAATTAAAGCTGTGACCTTTTTGCAGTAATTTCCAGTGTAATGAGACAGTGTCAATGTCATATTTGGGTTGTGCCCCATTGCGTGCACAGATGCTTCTCTGAGGGAAAGTAAACTAAAGACATCTCTAATGTTTCTGCTCCAAGCTCTAAATGTTTGTAATGCAGCAGACAAGTTCAAACACAGCACCACGAATAAAACTAACATTTGGCTGCTTATAGTAAAAGGCCGCATTCTTTGGCTGGATTCTTGGGAAATTGCACTGACACTTTCCCTGCATTTCTGACATACTTTTGTCTTTACATCACTTAACCTATTTTTCAACTCACTCTCCTGCGTGTAATTAAGTGGGCGATCAGTCAGTGACGGTGAATATGAGTCCTGTCAGGATGAAGATGATGGTGAAGATAATTAGCATGATGTTTGACTTGGTGTTTATGGAGTTCACCGGGTTAAAAAGATGCGACCATGGCTGATAGTAAACAAGAAGAGGCACAAAAAAAAAAAAACTACCAACAATCAAACAAAAATCTCAAAAAGAGACTAGACTTGTAACAACAATATGGAAAATAAATTAGTTAACCACAATAAAATTACATAATATAGCAGAGAGACACAAAAGGTATAACGTGTATCACAAAATAATATCAAAAACTCAAGGAAATGAAAACAGGTAGGCCCTCAAAGCCACATAAACCACTGGTACCAGACGAAAATGATAATAAAGAGGCAAAAAACAACCCAAAAAGTGTTACAATTACAACAATTACTAATTACCAAACAGGAAAGAAATAATTGTTAATATGCATTAAAAAAGTGACAACGCAGGCCGCGATGGAACAACAAGAACACCCAAATGAGGCTCTAAATGATAAAAGAAAACAAACATGACAACGTTGGTTCCATCAACATCAGCATCTGAAAGAATAATAAAAAAGAAAGTTTATCTAAGTGTTTAACCCTTTTCCTTTTTCTGCTAATGTAAGAGTTGCAGTAATTCTTAGCGCTGGGCCAAGTGTTCTCATTGGTTGAGACAGATGATAATGCTAGTCTGGGGTAGGCCTTAATTTGACATGCTACCACCGATGGTATATTAAGTGAGTTACAGGGCCGTAACTAAAGCGGCACCAAACACTGAAAACTAAAACGTTCCACCCCCCACACCCCCCCACTCAAAATCTTTTGCGTAACTAACCTATTCCTCCTGTTCCTCCTTGTGGCCTCAGCGTCCTTTGGTGAATCCCTGAAGCATAAGCCGGCGTCATGGTTCATGCGTCGCTGTTCTGAAGTGACGAAGCTTTTGGCAGCAACGTAGTGACTCTGGGCCTCACGGTTGACAAAGACACCTTCAGAGCATTTAAGAGGCTATCAACAAAAGCCACATAGCTGTGGAATAACATAATCATCTGTTCTCAGGGCCCCCAACTCCTATACATCATCACCTAGAACATGGTTATTCCAGATGACCACGTTCTAGGAAGCCGTGGTCAGTGATGGGAAAGCCGCAGCCATCAGGACATCTCTGCAAGACCTCCATGTTAGAGCTGGTAGACCTTGATCAGAATCATCAACAGTTTGTAATGTTCTATCAACTGACTACAAAGAACAACTAATACGAATCATAGTCCCTACATTTCCTGCCAAAAAAAAAAAAGGTCAAAGGGAGATTTCACTGAATGATGAAGAACCAGAACTTTTACCAGAACTATAAAAACAGTTTACTTCAATTTCCCAAGGGGAACTCCAGAGGGATTCATAAAGTTGTATCTATCGATCGATTGATCGATCGATCTATCTATCATTCTATCTGTCTATCCATCTATCTATAAAATGTCTTCAATACCAGTTCAAGCCTGCTTCTGTACCTGGTCATGCTTTTATTTTGAAAGGCAAAACATTTCTTGACACCGAGTTCAGTTTTGACTCGAGGATTAAATCTGCCGCTCAGATAAGGTGAACTGCTGAAAACTCCTGGACTAACATTTTTGCGCACCTTTGTTAACTACTTACTTGCTTGTAACTACTTACTGGACCTCAAAACATCTGTGTGTGCCCCTGCTCCTGCAGACTCAGGTTCTCTGGTTTGTTCTCCGTCCACTAGAGGGAGATGTTCCTTTAAGTGTCAGAGAGACCGTGCAGGAGGAGGCGGAGCTGCTGCTGCTGCTGCTCCTGCTGCTGCTGCTGTCACTGTCTGTGCTGCTCCACATAAACCCGGCGTCTGCAAACAGACACACACCGACCCACGGAGGAGGAGAGAGAGGAGCAGATCTGAGGAGCAGGAAAGAGTCCGAGCAGGGAAATGAAAAGACACGAACCGGCAGCTGCAGCGAAACCAAACCCTGCACCTCCTGCTCCTGCTGTCCCTCCACTGAGGCTCCTGACTATCTGGACACCAGTGTCTGCTGGGCATCATCATCATCATCACCACCACCACCCCCACCACCACCATCAGCAGCAGCAGCAGCATCACCCTCATCCTCACTCAGTGTCCAGCATCATGCTGTTTCCTGCTCCAACTCTCTGTTTCCTGGATCACAGCTGAGTCCAGTCAACCAGGAGTTTAACCTGAAAGACTTGTTTTCACAGTGGATGTTTTCTTTTTTTTTTTCTTTAGTAATTATTATTAACAACAAATAAAAAGGACAGTTAAAACAACATCTGCAGCCTTACTCTGGTGATCTGGATTATTCCAGCAGACGGGAGCAGATATGATGGTGATACTGGTCATCAGTTTGGCCTTGTGCTCACACTCAGGTCAGTGATTTCTTTTTTTTTTTTTCAATTGAATACTTTGAGAACTTGTGTTATTCGTGTCGGTCGCAGGCGTGAGGAGCATCACTGCAGAAAGTCTGTTTTTATTAGAAAACTTTCTTCTCTCTTCGTCTCAACTGTCTGGTTCTAAGCTAAAAGATATTATTTAAAATAAACCAAAAATAAGTTTCAGATTAAGGAATTACTTTTATTTCATTTCACTTAAATTGGCTATTAAAAAACAAGTTTTGTTGAGCTTTATTATGTATCAAAAGTCATAGCTTAAGGTTAGCCAAAAAAAAACAAAAAACAAACACAACAGATATCCTTAGCTCATACGTGCGCAAAAGCTACCAAGAAAGCTAAAAAAAACAACTAACTTACACTTAACTTACACAGATATGGCTAACCCAGGCACGAGCAAACTAAGGCCAGGGGGCCAGATGTGGCCCGTTCAGCTTTTTAATCTGGTCCTCCAAACTTTTCTAAATTATATAATTTATTTATATTATAATTATACTTTTGCCTTTTCCCTGCAGTACCCACGGTTCCCCAATAGATGCCGTAGAAAATGATAAAAGACATCGTAGTTCACATGAACATTCAATCTATCTGCTCCTGATCCAGCCCCACTGTTTAATTTTAGGACAATTGTTGCCCGCGCCTGCGCTAACGTGAGCTGACTTTAATGGTTGACGGTGCGAGTCTTCTTCTTCTTCTTTGTCTTCTTCTCCTGACCTCCTCACCTGCAGCGGTGCTTACGTAATCCGACCTCACCTCCTCTAAATGAATTCAAGCTGCAGGCTCTTTAATAAGAGCCGACCTGTGAGGTCTGCGAGGTGATAAACAAAGATTCAGCTCCAGCTTTTCAGACAATAAATTATCGATTATACATCCAGTGGCTGGAGGCTGACACCTGTGTTTCCTCAGGAGGTTGGAGATGAAGGCGGGGGTTTTATAGGAGCAGTGAAAAACGCTGCCAGACTCCGTCTGTGTCATCAGAGTCCACACTGGCACAGGTGCAACAATGGCTCCATTATTCTCCTGCTTTTTTTGCATAGCACTTCCCATCAAACCAAATCACTTGACTTATGTAAACACACACACACACACACACACACACACACACTGAGTCACTCTCACTCAGCTCGTCCACTCGCTCCAACTCAGGATCAGACGTGTCTGATCAGAACTCGACCGTCAACAGCTTCTGTTCACTGGACGGTTAAAAAAATCTGTAAAAAAAAAACTCCAAACTAAAAGCCTACAGGTCAGTGCAGGTACTGCAGATACTGCCCACCACAATGTTTTATTAGTTAATATGGTACTGTCTCTGTCGCTCTTACTGACAGTAAGAGAGTTGAACAAAAATACCAGTTGCATAATACTCAGGTTGAGGCGTTGGTATCAGACGAGAAACCGAATTTTGCTGATTTGTTTAGTAAAAAAAAAAAATCTCAAATCAGCTAAGACTGAATAAGAACTGCTGACACAAATATCTGTAAACCAGCAGAAACCTGTCCATGTTGTCAAAACTGTGGTGCGCTGATTTAGTGGCACAGAAGGTTCCAGGTGGAGATTTAGCAACAGCGCCACACCTCTGTCATATCAGCCCCGACTCCTACGCTTTCCCTTTTTTTCTTCTGTTATCTGCAGACGGCCGTTGCATCACCTCAGCCCATATTTGCCCGGCGCCAGTGTAAACATCTCTGTGTTTGTTTTCCCTCCGTACATCCAGGTCTGGCGGTGGAGATGTTTCGTGTAGGTGTGGCCCCTCGCTGCGAGAGCCGGGCCTGCAACCCCCGCATGGGCAACCTCGCCCTGGGACGGCGGGTTCTGACCCAAACCGTTTGTGGCAACAACGGCACCGAGCTCTACTGCTCCTACTCTGATCCCAACGCCAACCTGGCCTGCGACTCTCCAAAGTGTGCCAAGTGCAACGCCGGCCTGCCGCTGCTGTCCCACCTGGCCGGGGCCATGTCAGACTCCTCGTTCCGTCACCCGAACACGTGGTGGCAATCGGCGGAAGGTGTAGAGTCGGAAACGGTGCAGCTGGACCTGGAGTCCGAGTTCTACTTCACACATCTCATCCTGGTGTTTCGATCGCCGAGGCCTGCAGCCATGACGCTGGAGCGGTCGCAGGACTTTGGACGAACTTGGAAGATGTTGCAGTACTACGCCGCCAACTGCAGCGCCGCCTTCGGGCTGGAGGAGGGAAAGGCGGGAGGGAGCCGTGACAGGGCAACATGCACATCAAAATACTCAGGGGCTTTTCCCTGCAACCGTGGAGAGGTGAGGAGGACGAGGAGGTAGGGCGGACACTCCTAAAGAAAAACCAGGTGCAAAAAAGTCGGACTCATGACATTAGCCTGAGATCCTTCTTTAATAATCTGAGCTAATGCCACTGACATTTCGGCTAAAATGCTAAGTCAGGTTTTTAGCCAATGTCTAGCTGTCTCTGAGATGACATTTACTTATCCTGGCTAATGATTTAGCTATTTCTGGCCAAGTTTCATCTTTCACGCTAGCTAATTTCCAACTGTGTTGGCTAACGTCCAGTGTTAGCTAACCTCCAACTATGTCAGCTATATTTAACTAATGTTTAGCTGTCTCTGAGAGGACATTCAGTTATCCTTTGGCTAATGATTTAGCTCTTTCTGGCTAACGTTTTTTTTTACTGTTAGCTATCTTACAACTGTGTGAGCCAGGAAGCCAGGTTGGACACTTGGCATTTTTTACCCAAAACCTCAGCTGTTTTTTGTAGTGTGCGATAATATTTGATTTAATATTGTGTGTTTTATTTTATTCTCTTTTTAATTGGCCTGTCCTCTGGATCTAATTGACTTCTGTCTTCGCTGAGTCACGCAACATGCTAGAGTTACTGACTGGCTAGCAGCAGAGAAGGGCTTCCTGAAACTGACTGAAGTCTAAATGTGATCAATTTGTGTCGGCGAGATGCTCCGCAGATGAGCGTGGAGACGCATGCCAAGCGTGGTGCCGCTCCCGGCTCCCTGCAGCGCTAACATATGCGTTGTGTTTACACCCCTTCGGTTGACGGGCCCTCGATGCCGTGATTCCTCTCTGACAGCTGTTATGCTGCTGCAGGCTCATAAATCTGTCATCGCTGCACATGCCTGCCATTTGTTTTTCAATCTCCCCCTAAATTCTCACTCCTGCTGCTGTTATCGTTGACGACACAATTCGACACACATTTTATGTAAAAATAAACATGAAGCTAATTTTACAATAGTTTTGCATTTTTAAGCTAAATATCAAATTTTAGCCGATGACCTAGCTCTGGGTTCACATTTTGTTACTTTTTGCCTAAAGGTTAGCATATTTCGATGGAAACATCTATATATAGTGTTAATTTCAGACTGCGTCTCTTGGTAACATGCGTCGCAATCAAAAATGTTTACTGGTTCAATATGTTTGCTGGTGTTGGGTAAATAAAACAAAACAAAAGATGTAGCAAAGTTGCTAACTATTAGCCAGAATGGCTTAAAAATGCTAAAGCACATTGTCACAATATGACTAGAAGTTGTTGAATATAGAATATAGAAATTAGGTATGAAAAATGATGTCAATAGGAACAATTAGTCAAACAAGTGCAGAACAGCAGCTAGTTCTAATCATCTGTATTTGGCTAACATTCTTTTAAATCTTTGCTATTTTTTGTCTACTTCAGGCCTAAATATTAAGTTATCCTTTTGCTAATTTTTGGAGTATTTCAAGTGAATCAATAGCTTTTTTCCACTAATTTTAATTAATACTTGAGAGGAGGTGTAATGTTTTAGCAAATTTTGGCTAACATTTAGATGATAAACAAAAACGAGATTCTTTCATTCACCAACATCTTTTGAGCTAATACATGTTCTATATTTTTATTATTGTAATTATTAACAAAACAATAATTCCAACCCCTGAGCAGATATTAAAACCTCTGCAGAGTTTCCACTCTTACACAACTCCACCTTTATTTTCTTCAAGTTAAAACTGACTGATTCAAGATGTTCATTCTGAACAACAGTCTGGCACCTGGGGATATTTAGATCCTTACTGTTTAAGAAAATCTTCTATTGGAGGATCTGAGCCCAGAAACATTCTGTTTACTTCACCACAATTTGAACAGATCCTTAAGGCGTGTTCTGAAACAGAGGCGGCTTTTTTTAACTTTTTTCGGTGCCTTTTCAAGGCCGAGCCTCTCCAGGGTGTTAGCTTCTGTGCTAGGAGCGCGACCTCCGCCCTCTCGCCTCTCAGCTGATGACCTGGGGGTTAAAAGAGGTCAAGTGGAGCAGTGACGGAGCGGCAGATGCTCGGGCTGATGCTCAGCTGTTCACACGTTTCAGGCGTCTGTGTGTTTTTGTTGTGACTGTTCGTGACCCACGATGACCTTGTGTTGCGTGCGTGCATTACTAAAGGCAGCGGTGCCTCACGGGTTGTGCACCTGCTTCAGCTCAGAGCAGGGCAGGAAATTAACTCTTTAAATAAATACCTCTGTAAACGATGATTCAGGGCCAGTTTGGGTCATTAAAGGGAAATTCTGTCGAATATTATTGTTATATATATATAGTTATCTTGAGTAGTTTTACGACTGTTTGGCTAATTGTTACTACTTCTGAATATTTGCAATTTTGGCTTGTTAGACGTCTCCACCTTTGGCGGTTCGCGGTCGACATCATTCAAACAAATGGCGTCAAAATTCGCCAACTAGTTGGCATGGAAACAAACTTGTGTTGTTTGTCTGGGAACCTTTGCTTCAGACTCTTTTGACGTTTTTATGTCCTAGATGTGTTAGCGTAGGTACGTGACATAGGTTCTGTAAGTGAGTTCCTACTTAGGGCAAAAACTTAAATTTAGGGCAAGCGACTGATGTGCCATAGAAATGGAACGCCAAAGTGAGTCGCGGCCTCTGTAGTTTTTTTTCAATTTTGCCATAACTCCTGGAAGGTCTTTGATACATTTGAGCTCTTATGTAATATAGGTTTAGCTACATCTTAAATAACAAATATTGAACCAATATTCAGTTTTTTTAGGCGTTCAGTGTAGAGACAGTTTGAAATTGACATGTTGTACATGAGCAATGTTTTAAGCTAAATTAGCTGTGACTTATCGAAAAGCTAACAAAATGTGAGCCCAGATGTTAGCTTAGCAGTTTATCGTTTATGTAATTACATTCCTCAGCTGTGAAAATGACTCATGCGTAGAAAACAATCCCACTGTAACCGGAGCAGATCAACAATATAAGGTAAACATATCATTTTTGACTACGATTCAGTCCTAACGATGACGTTTCCTGATGTGAACACGTTTTCGGGAAACCAGTAACTTTAGCTCTGAGGTTAAATTTTCATATAAATATTGATATGATAAACATTAGCCAACAGAAGACACATACCTGACTTTCAACCTTAGAGAGGGTGAGTGCGCCTGTGTGTGTGTGTGTGTGTGTGTGTGTGTGTGTGTGTGTGTGTGATGCTTGGGTTGATTACAGGCAGCAGCAGCTTTTCTCTCTCTGTTCTGTTTCTCCTACAAACATAAAAGCGTGTCATCTGTTGAATAGCCTTTTATGAACACCTGTGATGTGGGGAAAAGTTGTGTGAAAAGTGTGTGTGCGTCTGCGTGTGTGTTTGTGTGTGAACCTCTCGTCTTATTTACGAGGTCAGTGAGACTGGAAGAATGTGAGTGTTTGTTGTAGAGACTAGAGGCTCGACCTCCTTAGGGAAGAAGGAGAGAGCAGAGCATTGGGGCAGAGGCAGCCAACACACACACACACACACACACAATCCTTGCCCTTTCAGATAAACACATACAGTTGAGTCTCCGTCTGTTGGCTGGGAAGGAAGTGCAGTTCCTCTGATGGATGTTGGTCCTGTTGGCGAGACACCCTACCCCCCCACCCCCCTCCTCTACCCCGTCTCTCTCTCTCGCTCTCTCTCGCTCTCTCTCCCTCCATCAATGCCCATTGTGCAGATTTACCAGATTACAGTCCTCAGTTCTTTGATGGAATTAAGCCTGTGAAAAGCAAGAGTTACTTTATTTTCTCAGTCTGAAACAGGAAGAAAGATTATCAGAGGACACGTGGTCCACGGGGAGCCCCTCTCGCAGAGGAAAAAAAAAGAAAAAAAGAAAAATCAAACAAAGTGCAAAGGGTTCAGCCTGAGATGTGTTTATAAAAAGGCAGGAATGTAAAAACATTCACATGCACTTTGGGCTTTCAACTCCACAAATGCATTTACTGTCTTTTTCACCCTCATTAGTGATGCTAATGGCTCCAAATGCCTACAGTGTAACGTTTCTCTAACGCAGGGAACGTTTCCCTGTGTGAATTCCAGGCACAGAAAAATCACAGAAGCTCGAGTGTTTTCACTGCAGGGAGCAGAGAGTAAAGGTCGTTCATCAAAACAAGGCATCGTCTGCATATTGACAAATATTATTGACATTTTACTGTCACATTTACCAGTACAAAAGGAGCCAAGAATGTTAGAATTAAAAAAAATGTATCCATTTAATGGATCAATTACAGCCAAAATTCTAATTGTGTGTTAATACTACCTAATCCATACAATACATCTGTGTCAAAAAAGTATTTTGTGCCAACAATCTGTTTATGTATGGATTCCTCACACCTGTTGCCTCACACAGTGTGTGGTTTGTATTCCAAACAACTAAACAATAAACTCTTAGCTGATGGCACATCATCTGGGATCGAGTCATAGCCCTGAGGAACAATGGTGCTGGAATGCTAGGATTCCACCAACAATCATTTGGTTTCATGCCAAGAAACAGTTTTGGAATGATCAGGGTTAGATAAGATAGTTTCATAATGATGTTAGTGCGGTACCTCACATTCTTGGGATTGTTTTTTTTTCCAGGCTGAGAGTTTTGAATTTCTAACATAGACTGTATATGAGAAATGAAAAAAAGCCTCCTGTAATCCCAAAAATTAAAAGCTTTAAGTTATGTTTCTAATTAACCTCCTCGGCTTTTGATCGCACAGTGTTCATTTAAACAAGTAGCTGATGCGAATAAAATAGTATTTTTTTTAAGTGATCAGAAAATCTACACATTCTTGCTTTGAGTGAACTTCACTGACTTGAGTTTAGTTCATGTAAACATTGGCGTCGTCTGCATATTGATGAACATTTGTCCCCATTTGCAAAAAAAAAAAACAAAAAACAAAGAAACATGTCAAAAAAAGCTGTCAGAAGTTTTCATGGAATCTTGTGTGCACATGTGTGACTGTGTCGTTGTGTTTGTGCGCATGCCAGTGTGGTTGTGTATGTGTTTTGATGTTACTGTGGTGTTCCTGCGGCTGTCCCAGCCTCCTTTGTCCGCCCCTGAGTTATGAGAAGCTGCATCTCCGTCTCTCGTCTTTGTCTGTCCCTGCTCTCCGTGCTCTCCCGTGGACCGGCGCCCCTTGGTCCTATTTGTCCTGTTCTCTTAATTGCCAACCACAATGCTGTGACCCCATGACCTTTTTTTGAAACAACAGGGGTGGAAAATTAATCGTGCTCCACCCATCATGCTCTGGGCCAGTCATCCAGCCAATCAGGGAGCCCACGGACAGGGAGTCTTTGCCTGCGTCTCACACCATAGCTTTAATTAAAGAAAAGAAAATCACTTTTCTCCTTCTCTGACATCAGTCACTGAAGATGACAACACGCCGTTTTGTAAAGACACACACAGCAAAAACACACACATTTGTCTCACAGCAGGACTTAGGTCAGTCAACAGCAATTTTTTTTCCCGCACAGACAACAGCAGTGGTAAAGGTTGCCAGTGGCAGCAGTAGCCATGGAGAAAGAAGCGTACAAAAAGGGGATCTTCAGTTTGAAGGAAGTCCTGAAACCCGAAAATCAGGGTTCAGTGAGAGAGAGAGACAGAGAGAGAGAGAGGGAGAGAATAAGCGGGACAAGAGAAAGAGGCGGGGGCGGCTGAGGGGACGAGGGTGAGGAACATGCACTGATTTAAGGACACACCATGCGGTCATGTGAGGATGCAGTGGCAAATAAAAGGTCAGAGTTTACGGCGGAGATGACAGCAGAACGAAGTGCCGGTTAGCATGACAAACGCCCTGACATGAGCGGCGCCAATGAAACCAATGTCGCTTCTGTAAACAGGGATGTAAAAGGTTTAAATGATGTCAAATCACTACAAACAACGAGACGTTTTGTTACCTTTATCCGTAAACTCCGAACATAAACCGACTGTAAATCTCGGAGCCACTTCAGGTTCCTCGTCCGAAAGAAGAGTTAAGTATGTACGGATTTATGTTCAGGAAAGAGGGAAGTCCACTCATGGACAGGATAACAGTAAAGTAAAAACAGAAGTGTCCATAATGAAACGTCTCAGTGCCAACAGACCTGCTTCATTCACGATTTTTAGAATCTACTAATGTAGACTAATGTTGCGCTCGACTAATGTTGTGTTTAATGATACAAGTTACTGTTAAACTGACATTAGTTAGTGTGATCTTCATGTTCACATTAATGTACCATTGTATTGACAATAGTGTGATCTTCATGTTCACATTAATGATTACCATTGTATTGACATTGAGAGATTCTAGATTTTTCTTGTGTCTCGCTATTGGTCAAAACTCCAAACGTGACTCTTGTCCTTTTGAACGACAGGTGATCTACAGAACTCTCCCGAAGTGGGAGTCCTTGGACCCATTCGGAACTGAAGGTCAGCAGCAGCTGAGGGTGACCAACATCCGCATCCGCCTCCTCAAACAGCAGCAGTGTCCCTGCCAGGACAAAGACCTCGGCAGAGCAGCGACGGAACCTCTCCCGACCCGACACTTTGCCATCTACGACCTGATAGTGAAGGGAAGCTGCTTTTGTAACGGACACGCTGAGCAGTGTGTCCCTGCACCGGGATACAGGCCCATCAGAGACCGGACCAACCACGTGGTGAGATGATTTGTTCCTGATACAGTTCACTATGAATTCTAAGGATGTCACTTTGATAGCATTTGGAGTCAAATTTAATTTTATAAAAGAAGGAAGGAATCACTTCCTGTAACCACTACTACAAAACTACAGAGGCAGAAAAATGTTTGTAAACCAAGTCTCGCTCCTGTAAACACATCTAAAAACATCTGCCCATCATTGCTCATAAGTGCCCCCGGTGTTTAGAAAAGGAAAAGAAACCGAAACCTTACTTCTCGGATCCCAGTTCCCAAACTTTTTTGGCGGCGCACCTCCTTCTACATCCTAACCCCTAGTCCCCCACACATCTTCCAAATGAAGCTTAAACAAACAGAACAGAAACCTTTGCAGTATTTTAGAAATGTGCTGCAATATTTGATAACCGCTACGCCATGTTAAAACAGGACATGGCACCAACGTAGTCAGTGGTATGGTTAGTTCAAATGCTTCATGAATCTGTATCGCGGCTGCCGTTTGAGAACCTCCCTCCTCCTCTGGTCAGTCTAAATGTCAATATAAGAGCTAGTAGCTAGCTTTACGAGCTAACATAAGCTTAACATGCCAACACAACGACTTACTTAAACTTAAACTTATCTTTATTAGTCATTGTGACACAGCACACCATGCACAACGAAATTTACCCTCTGCATTTAACCCATCACCAAAGTGAACAGTGGGCAGCCGTGGTCGGCGCCCGGGGAGCAGTGCTTGAGGACGATGCTCAGTGCATCTCAGTGGCAACCTGGCAGTTGGTGGGTTCGAACCTGGGGCCTACCGGACCGAAGTCCGCCTCCTTCACCACTAGGCCACCACTGCCCAACAACAAAACATAGCAAAGATATTATAATATTTTCAAAAGGGTCACATTAATTGAATGAGTTAAAGTAGTCCTGACCTATCCTTGATTTATTTATGTTAGCATGTTAGCTTTTTTTTACTTGAGACAAAAACTAAATATTATGTGGTCTTTACTGGACAATAATTGTAAATCTCAAGCGTTGGAGAAAGCAATAACACTGTTGTCTGTTTCTTCTTCTTTATTGCTTGACATCTTGACCTGTAATTGTCAGATCTTTTCAGTTATCTTCTACATGAAAGACCAAAATAATTCACAAAAGCTAACGTTTCTAACCCGGACCACGTGCAGCAGCTGCGCTCCTGCCTGTCACTGAAAGATGTTCGGCATTTCGAATGAATGAAGACGATTTGTGCGTGTTTTCTTTGCAGACCTTGATGTTTTTCTAAGGCTGCTGCGGATGGTCGATTTATTGGATGCAGCCTTTGGATCTTTAAATCTCACTAAATCCATGCCAAGAAATTCCGAGCAGCTCTGTTGGGAGTTCTCGTGAGGATTTCCGTCTTTAGAGGAGAGAAAATCCTCTGAAGGAGTTTGTTGTTGAAAAACACAGGACTGTGAAAACTCCTCTCTGCACGACAGGAAAACAGTAATAATAACAACGCTAAATCAACTTAGCGCTCACGTGTCTGGAAAAATGAAAGCCAGTGGTCAGTGGGTTGGTTGGACACAATCAACCTGATCCTGCACATGAGGTGTTGACTCATGTCTGTGGACAGGCGGCCTCGGTGCTGTGACTCCACACTGATGTTATATAAGTGCCTTTCCTGTCTGTCAGCAGCTTGTTTTGTGTCTCCTTTGTGAAACTTTTTTTTTTTTTTTTGACGGCAAAAAACCCAAACAAGCAGAGCAGCGCAAGGAGGAAGATGACGACAGAGATAAGAGATCTCTCAGAGAAGGGAAGGGCGTGTGTGTCTGGGTCTGGTTATATTTTTTATATTTTAATGTACTTTCTTTTACACTTTTTATAAACACAAATCCGCCACCCAAAAGATGTTTCATACTTCCAACGTCTGATTTTGCAGTTGATCCACTTCTCATATTCGTACAGTCAAATAAGGTTTGTTTGTTTGGTCTGGGTGTGTGTTAGAAGCATGTGTGCTAAAGTATGCAGTGTTTTTTTTTTTTTTTTTGTCTCTCTCTCTCTCTCTCTGTATGTGTGTGTGTGTGTAAGCGTCTGATATGTTGAGTCATTAGCACTTAGCCACTGAGCTCTGATAAAGGAGCTAGTTTGTTTGTTTGTTTGTGTTTTTGCTCGTTGGTCTGTAGCCTTGTTGTTTGCTGCTGCTGGACTCCCACATGGGATTTTGCGGTTGAGGGTGATTACACTGTCTGTTAGTTAGCCACAAAGCCAACACACAGACACACAGACACACACACAAACACATGGATTCAAAATAACATCCAGGCTACTGGAGCGTTCACAGTAGTTAGTCCAGGCAGGATGTGTTGGTTTGTTATTCCTCACTAATAAGGTATTGGATTATTTATTATACATATTATATATAATCATTTCTTCTATTAATAGCTCAGTATCAGACTTAGAGAAACTGACCTTGTCAGTGTTGCTGATCATATTTGTGTCTCTGGAGTGTCTGTCCACTCCTTTAGATCCAGTTTCAGCAACTGAGTGGAGCTTTTTTAATCTGACGTATCTGGAACTGTGTCTCAAAACGAACTACCCTGATAATAATCTTGCCCCCTACACTGGGTAGCGTCACCCATACTACAACTCCTAGCCATGGGAGGATCCTCTAACGGAGAGTTAAGCACAGCTGCTCATTTAGCAACAGCTATAGAAGATAAATACAAGTGCGTTTTCATCTGTTACGACACGGAGGGAGGTGACACAACGTTGGTTAGTCTTCATATTAACGTCAATGTTGAAGTAGGCCTACGACTAGTAAGTACTACTAACCACTGACAAACATCTAGGTTCATTCCTGACTCCCTACGTTCCTCTTTTTCTGGGTCATGATCTGTCACCTTCCAGTGTACGAAGGCCATTTCCAAACACTGGCGGTCAATGGAAAAAGTGCGATGATAGCAGGGGGCGCTCTAACTTCTTGGGTTTGAATTCACAAAAACAAAACCAAAAGGAATTCAAATCAATTTTCTACACATTGTGACTTTAAACATGCGTATAATTCTGAGGTCATTTATCAACCACCGTCCCCTCCGCGGTCGATGTTGTGATTGCGTGTGTGCAGCTCGGACTGTGTACATGTGTTAATTGTCCCGTATTATGTTACGACAAACAATGACCTGAGCCAGACGCTGCTGGCTGGCCTTTTCCTTTTCCTCCGTGCCCCTTCTTTTGTCTCTACTTTGGACTTCTTCATGAACGACATCATTTGTTTTGAGTTTTTTGTGTGTTTTACTGTATGTGTCAGAAGGTCTCCTGTTTCCTATTTGGGGGCCTCTAACTTATGTAATTACTATTAACAAGATTGAAATGGAGTGTAAAATTACATTATGCTACACAGCTGAATTGAGGTCAGATCGGGCAGCGGACATGTGGATGTGTTTAACTGTATGATTAAACACACAGAGCTAGATGTTAGCCAAAGCTGAAACCTAAACACACAGAGCTAGATGTTAGCCAAGGCTGAAACCCTCTAAGAACATCTGAAAAGGTGCTTCATTCCTTCGAGGGGCAAAAATGTTAGCCATAGCATATCTAAAAGTTAAAAAAAAAAAGCAAAAATACCCAAAACCTGACTCCAAATATAGACGATATGCTAGATAAATAGCTAACTAACTTAACATTAGCACTTAGTGTTAAAGGTTAGCAGGAACATGTATGTGTTGTAAATGTTGTAAATTTAGACAAAAAAACAGTTGAACATCATCTTAAGGTAGCTCCATAATTAGCATCGTAAGTGGCTAACCCAGAATGTCGAGCTAATCCATATTAAATGATCAAAATGATCTTTCGTTTAATCCAAACAGGAAAATATATCCTGTTTAAACAATGATATAATTCCATTTGGGAAGACGACGACACATCACACACACCGTGGGAAATGAACACAGGGATGGAAAGTGTGTGTGTGTGTGTGTGTGTGTGTGTGAGACAACCTGTGTAATTATTTTATAATTGTGGGTCCTACATTACTGATTCGCAGTGTAATGCAAACAAAT